CTCAGCCAGTTACAGAAGAAATAATCCCCATCTTTTTTATTTTTGTACCAATAATAGTATGATTTAAAAGAAAGCAAAGGCGCACCACTGTTACATATGACCAGGGAGGGAACTCTTTTCCTGCAAGTAATTTCATACAGCTGAAAGAGGGGTCTGGAAACCCTGCAGAAAGCAGAGGTCATTCAGAAGAGAAGTCCATCCCGTACGGTTGATTTCAGCTAGGGAGGGATAACACTGATATGCGTATACATAACACAACCTCTTTTTTTTTTTTTTTTTCCCTTCTGGGAATGGTGCCATGTGCCAATAATCAGAGCTAGCGGTAACAGAGAAATGTAAGGCCTGGCTGGCGTAGGCAGCAGCCCGCAGCCTTGAGGGTCTGATTTGGAGGGCAGGGCCGTGACTTGGAAGGTTGATTTACTTGTGCTAAGGCTACTTGGGACCCACGAGCAAGCATATTTTGAACTAGCTACTTTGATTAATTTTGCTGGAATGAGACTGTCTTCTATATGACTCTATATGACAGTTCTCAACACTTAATAGTTGTTTTAATGTTCCCAATAGGCTCAGCATTGCACTTTGTAAATCAGCAAAAAGTAAAATGAAGATCTTTATTTTACCACTTCTAAAATTATTATCCTTTTTGTTCTGGCTTGTGTTTGCATGCTGATAATATATTCTCTGTAACAGGACAAGGAGCAGACTGACCTGGAAAAGGAAGATTTTTTTTTTACGTAGCACTCTCTTTGATCACTCACAAGACTTGTGCTCTGATCTCAGCTCATTGACATCAATGAAAGAAAGACGGCTATTGGGGGGAGAAGGTTGGCTCATGTCCACACAGAGTCCATATACGCAAAAGCAGATGCTAAAGATAAAACATATTAAAAGACAGAGTTCCTGAAAAGATATTTCTTTGCCTTTCCACAAGCTTAGACTTATAATGCAATCAGATATCTTTTGTTGTTGTTGTTGTTGCTATTTTTTTATTGTCCCTGGAACAGGAAATTCCATTTTCTACATCTATTGTAGCTGTTTAGCTAGAGATAAACCTTGCATACAGGAAAAAAAAAAAAAAAGAGAGAAAGAGAGAGAGAGAGCTTGGTGAATGTTTTCTCTCGTATGAAAATGGAACGGCTCCTGCGTAGATGCTCCTGGACTGCTGAAGAATAGGAAAAGGGAAAACAAGGCTCTAGGGAATAACTCTCTGGAATCATTCCAGAGAGGGAAACTCAGCACTTTCATGATGTCATCAAAGTAATGAATAATAGCAGAGTCCATTTGAAAGATAAAGAAATTTCTAATGAGACTCTCACCCTGAGTGACAGTTTCCAGACAAGGTAGATCAGCACAATGAAACCCATAGATGCAAAGTCAGTGAACAGACCTAAAAGGAATCCTCCCCAGCTCACTGGAGGGCAAGAAGGACAATCTTCATTCTGACTTACTGAGAGCACATTATCTTCAGGGGTTGGTCATGATAGTTTCATCACAGGCCATAAAACTGGTTAGTTCTTTGGCGCTATTGTTTCTGAAGCTGTGTTTTATATTCAATATTCAGAACATTTCTGTCACTGAGTGGAATGAGAATATATAATGAAATAATACTTGACACTGACAAGAGAGTTCCTTTAAGACAAGAGTCTACGACAGTTGCTAGTGTGACATTTGAGCTCAGAGTAGCCCACTGTGCCTTTTTAGCATGGATACTCTGGCCAGTGCCTGTCCTCTCCAGCTAGCCGAGCATCTCTGCCCATCTGGTTATGTCTCTTACATGAACCCTACAGCAATGTAAAGCAGGCAGCACTTCAGGAAAACTTCACTGTTGGTCTTCAGGCTTTAATCAGACTATTAGAACTCAATTCGTGTTGATATCCCACAAGTTATATTCTGACCTTTTTCACCTGACTGACACAGACTTGCACCAATAAAAATAGACACAGGATTATCTACATCTCATATCTCAGTAAGACATATAAAGACTTGTTAATTCAGAGCTTGTTCTTTTAACACTGGACTGAAATGGTAGTTTTATTCACTGAGAGCAGAAGCAAGGTTTATGAAGTGTTACGTTTGGGTAAAGATGCCATAGAAACAGAGGGTACCATTATTAAAATATCCTGGAAAAGCCAAATTCACCCGATACACAGGTACATGTGCTGTGCCTAGTCACATTAGCTAGATCCCTCCGTACCTCCTAGGTAGGTTTAAGCCCACAGACTGAAATTATCTTCATCACTTTTCCTTCCAAAATCAAATATTTAGCATTCTAGCAACATCTAGATGTAAACTTAGAGTACATCCCATTCTACATCAAATCTTCAGATTCTACTTAAAATCAAGAATTTCCAGATAAAGATTTGGAGCAAAGTAGATTTTTCATCCCTTTCTCCCTCTGAGTTGTACTTGGAGGCCCTTTATAGCCTTTTCAGTGCTTCTAGGTGCTGTGGCTCCAGCTAATCCTGGTGACTCAGAAAGTTAAACAGAACACACTGGTCCAGAGAGCAGAGGTTGGTGCAAGAGCCTGGCTCTCTCATGCTTTGTCATAGTCAGAAGAAGCATGCAGGAGGAGAGGGAGGGAGAAATTGTGTAAAAAGCCATCTACTAAGAAAAGAATGTTTGATTTGGATCACAGGATGTGAGACTGGAGAATGTATTGCATAACTTTATGGCTTGTCCTTATTTGCAATGATTCAGTATCCGGCACTGCTCATCCCATTTCTAAAAATGGTATTGAAGTAATACAGAGTGTTCAGAGGTGATGGGAATGGCTGGGGAATGGGAGGAAGGTACCTTTCCATTTCATGGCTGAGGGCAAAAACTGGGTCTGCAGGTCACCCTGCAGATCTTTGGTTCATCCTTCCCCACTACCTAAGGAATATTTACCGGGCCCAAATCCCACTAAGTCTCAGATGTCAGAGGCTCATCTACTCCTTGCTAAGCTTAACCGAAGGCCAAGATGAGCCCTTCTTAGTGGGATCCTTCCTGCTGCAGTTCCTTCCTTAGAACTGCATTCTGGGCATGTACAGCTCCTGGCATGGAGGAGGAGCACAGAGGTGGGTGCAATGTTGCTAGGTGGGAGCAAGAGCCCTTGGCACACCAGCTCTAAGGATGCCCCAGCTGAGACCAACCCTGATGAAGGCAGCCCTGCAGCATCTTTGGTCTTCTCTATCAGGTTCATTTCATTAGCAGGCTAAGGACATCTTTTTCTCTATTCCTGAAAAATAAACTTCATCCAAACCCACAGGTCCTCACCCTCAAAAAGTTTCTGCACCCTCAAAATGATCCACATCCCTTCCTGTTCCTCCCCTTTCCAGAGATGGGAAAAGGGGTAGCAGGGTTTGGCCAGGCCCTCTGTCCCAGCAGGTTGCTGCTCTGTGTGACATCTGTGTTTGGGCTTTCCTTTTCTTTTTCTGCTTTAAAACTAACACCTAGCAGCAAAACTCAAGGGAGCAAATGCCAACACAAGGAAACTGCTCATTAAACTATCCATCCTAATTCCTGTTATTAAAAGAAAAGGGGTGTGTGTGTGTGTGTGCATTTTTTTTTCTTATATTATTTTTTTTAAAGAGCCCCCAGTGCTGGGCAGGAACCTGCAGGCCTCATCCATGGCTTTCTGTGCCCTTCTCCCCCCCAGCCCCCTTTAAAGTCTGGGGCAGACTGAGGCAGACCTGGAGAGGGGAGATCTCCTCCCACCTGCCTGCCCTGGAAGCCAGTGGCATGTGAGAAAAACCCCAGGGGGGGGGCCCCCCCCCCCGCCGTGCCTGGAAAAAACTATTTCCTCACTGAGGAAGAAGAAGAAGAAAGAAAGAAAAAGAAAAAAAAGAAAGAAAGAAAAAATAAGAAGAGAAGAGAGGAAAGAGAGAGAGAAAGAAAAAAAAAGAGAAGAAAAAAAGAGAAAAAAATAAAAAAAAAAGAAAAGAAAAAAGAAAAGAAAGAGAAAAAAGCGCAGCCTCTCGGCACTGTCGTGCTACCACATACAGCCCCCGTGCCCCGGGGTGGGCTCCTGGTTTAGGCGTTTTTAACTGAGACCTGCTCAAAGGAGCTAATTACCCCCAGCCCCACGGCGCGGCTCCCCCCAGGGC